ACATCTCGATGCGTAGTGATACATCTCGATGCGTAGTGATACATCTCGATGCGGAGTGAGACATCTCGATGCATAGACCATCTCCGTGTTCCTCCGCCCTCCGTCCGTTAGCGGCCGCTGTTGCTCCGAACGGCCGGCCGGCCGGCGGTGTCAAACCCGGAGGAAGCAGGAACACTGGTGCTTTATGGTTTGTATTGGAACTCACGCCGGACTCCAGGGAACGGGGAACAGAGTCCTCTGGTACAGCAGCGGTGATTTGTCACTACGACGGCCGGGACTGGACCCCCCCCACACACACAGACACACAACAGCGCGAGCGGGACCGTTGGTCAGAGGCGGAAACTTGGCGGGCGTGTGGCCGCAGAGAGGCAGGACCAGCGGGGGAAGGGGCGAAGATGGAGACCCCAGGTAAAGTTTTCGTGTTGCGTGGCAGAAGGAGACTGGCACACAGTTTGACTTCAGTTCCTGTTAAACTAACAGCAACCTCAAAAAGAGCTGTAATTGTCTGTTTTAAACTGCAGTGCTGAGGGCTTTTTCGTTTGACAATGTTCGTTTTTCCAGATATTTCGATTGAAGAATTCATTTCATACGTCTAAGGTTTTTTAAAAACCGTTATATGACCTTTAAAACCGTTCAAAACAAGCATATGTTCTCTTTTTTGGCTTTCTGCCACATAATATTCATAAAATTAATGGTAAATGATAAATAGAAAACACTTTTTCACATGCCTTAAGACCGATGTCGAACATTTCAGAACCACTCTTCATATTTTATACTATCCAAGCATTCATAACAGATTTTAAAGTAGTCTTCGGAATGAGGATTTCGGGCTTTCTCATGGCATTTTCCTTTGGTGGTGGTTGTTCTTTTCCCCACGTCACTACTGAGCAATAACCAGTAATTATATGGGAATTCTACAAAAAAGGGATGAAACAGTTTTTCTTCCACAAGCAGATGAAAACTTAGAGAACAGTGTCTTGTGGCTGTTTATTCTGTAGAATAAAGGCCCTCAGACCAAATATTCTTACACTTATTTCCGCTTTCCTTGACAGTCTGTAGAGAAAAAAGAGGTGGCTTTTTTGGGACGGTATCATATGGGCATGAACTAAACCGGACTGTAGCAAAAGCTCAAAAGCTAGAACAACCTGTTGATTGATGCCAGGGTCCAATACAAATCCAAGATAGTCAGATAGCTTTTCTTTGTAGCTATTGGTGTCATTTCTGCCATACAACTCCAACAGTAAGCTTCTTTAAGCATCCTGTTTTGTAGCAATGGCCTCTGAATGTGGGCTAAAGTTGGACCTTTCTGATGCTCTCCTCTCTGTTTGCAGTGTGAACCGCTGAGTTGAGTTTGGACAGAGCTCAGGAAACCCTCCGAAACCATGACCCTCAGCCTCTCAGCCAACAGACGCATCGCCGCCTGCCTGCTGGTCAACCTGCTCTCCTCCATCTGCATCGTCTTCATCAACAAATGGATCTACGTGCGCTACGGCTTCCCCAACATGACTCTGACCCTGGTCCACTTTGTGGTCACCTGGCTGGGACTGTACACCTGCCAGAAAATGGACATTTTCTGCCCCAAGAGCCTCCCCCTGCGCCGGATCGTGTGGCTGGCCCTCAGCTTCTGCGGCTTTGTGGCCTTCACCAACCTCTCCCTGCAGAACAACTCCATAGGGACCTACCAGCTGGCCAAGGCCATGACCACCCCGGTCATCATCCTCATCCAGACAACGTACTACAAGAAGACCTTCTCCACCAAGATTAAGCTGACCCTGGTGAAGCCTTCTATCTCTGCGTACTAGTCACTAAAACCTTCCAGGATATTCGGTTTCTGGCCTGTCCAGAGCCTTTTTTTTTCTTCAAACCCTGACTGAATCCTGTCTCTGCCCCCCCCCCCCTCCTGCAGGTGCCCATCACGCTGGGGGTGATCTTAAACTCCTACTACGACGTGCGCTTCAACCTGCGGGGGACGGTGTTCGCCGCGTTGGGGGTTCTGGTGACCTCGCTTTACCAGGTGGTGAGTAGGGGTTCGTGGTGGGGCTGCCAAAGCTGACGCGACGGGAATAATGCCCCTCTCTCTGCCCCCTCTCTCAGTGGGTGGGGGCCAAACAACACGAGCTCCAGGTGAACTCCATGCAGCTGCTGTATTATCAGGTATGAGCACTTCTACCGATGCCCTAATGGCCAAAGGTTGTTTATTACCCATTTTCTGCTGATAGAATCCAGTCAGGCCACTTAGAAATGCCACTTAGAAATCTGACCTCACTTCTGACCTACTGGTCATGGCTTCTAACCTACTGCCTGTAATCTGATTTTATTAGAGATATATCTCTCTCTTTTAACATTTAATTAGACTTAAGAGGCATTGATGTATCCCCAGTCTCCTTTTTTTTTTTATCTCCATATGGTATTCTCTGGTTTAAGTGTTTGCTGATTTATTCCTTGACTCTCTGAGATTTTATTTGAAAGCTTGTTTCTTTTTATTTTGACTTTATTTAAGAGTTTTCAGAACTTTCTTTAGAAAGGTTTTGGCCTCACAGCTTATTTAGTTGTTTCATTTCTAGCCTAAGATCTGCTGATTTCGGCTTTGAGGCTTATTTGGAAGTCGCCTATATCCACTGGACCACCTCCTGTACATTTAGGACCTTTAATTCAGCCATCTTAAAACTTTACAGTTTTTTTAGAGGTGTTGTTTCTTTTCAGGGGTTTTAAAACTAGTAAGATGACTGGAATATTGGGAAAACTCTGCGAATGTTTGATGAAATTTGAAGCTCAACGTTGAAGGCTTCTGAACAGTTCTTGCTTTTACACTGTGTTAATGTTGTTAACACACACACACACACACACACACACACACACACACACACTCCTGTGCCAGGCTCCGCTGTCGTCAGGCTTCCTGCTCAGCATCATCCCCCTGTTTGAGCCGCTGACTGGAGACGGAGGAATATTTGGACCGTGGTCTCTGCCTGCTCTGGTCAGATTCAGCACGTCACACACACACACACACACACACACACACACACACACAGTCATTTAAATTTCACATTTTACGGCTCAGCAGCTTTTTCTAGTTACTCGATGCTCACCAGGTGAAATGAAGCTGGAAAATGTTGTAAAGCTGTTTGGGTGACGGATTTGCTCTGCGTTGCCTAGGTGACGGTGCTGTTCTCTGGCGTGGTGGCGTTCCTGGTCAACCTGTCCATTTACTGGATCATCGGAACGACCTCGGCTGTCACGTATCCTCACACACACACACAGGGGCCTGAAGACATCTCTGGGGCTTTCATGGGATCCGGGAGTTGGGGACAGTTGGTTTTTGCAAGCTATTTAAAAAATTGATCAGTCTGGGCCCAAGTTAAGGGGTATTTAAGTGTTTTCAGAAGTGTTTTCAGTTGTGTTGGAATAATCTGAGGGGGGTCTGTGGAGCTTTGTTCTTTAAATTTTTTTTTTTTTTTCATCTAAGTGAGGTTTTGAACCATTTAGAGCTTCTCTCAGGAGTTCCAGAATCTCATCTCTCTCTTTTTTTAAGCCTTATTTTATGGATTTGGAATGTTTGCCTTTCCGGTCTCGTTTTTGTCTGTGTTGATCAAATCTGGAGGCCCTTTTAATATTGTTTTTTTGTATTTTTACGAGTTTTTCAGCTTTCAGTTAAGTAAACAAATCTAGGAAGGTTTTAAACCTTCTCAGTGTGGTGTCTGTTGGTGGGTTTCATACATTTTTGGTGTTGATATAAACCTGTGGATGATGATATGTTCTCGTTTAACTCTGGACTCCAGGCTTCTCTGAGTAATCTCTGACTTATCCTTGATTCTTGCCGGCAGCTATAACATGTTTGGTCATTTTAAGTTCTGCATCACCCTGATTGGAGGATATTTGCTCTTCCACGACCCGCTGTCTCTGAACCAGGTGGGTCCTTCTGCGCTGCTCTGATTGGGTAGAGCTGCAGGCTGATCCCTAACACAGTTTCTCTGAGGCCTTTTTCTCCTTCCCGTGTCTCCCTCAGGCTCTGGGGATCCTCTGCACCCTGGCGGGCATCTTGTCCTACACTCACTTCAAGCTGTTCGAGCAGGAGGAGGGGAAGAGCCGTCTGGCTCAGAGACCGTAGGCGGCCTGAGCTGTCCAGCAGCTGCACAGACTTCTGCCACTGGCCACTCACCTTGTGACCGCACGCAGAAACCTCTTTACGTGTTTTCTATTTTTACCGGAATGATGTCTTTTAGTGGAAGTAATAATCCTATCGTTGTTCTGCTTTTCATGCTCCTTCCCGTGGTTCTTCAGAAACTCTGGTGTCGAAGTCTGAAGCTCATCACCCCAGTGGCTGGACTCTAAGACGCTGAGAGGAAGGGAGTTTTCACTCAGTTAAACTGAATATAAAAGAAGAGCGCATAAACAACTTTAATTGTCGCTCAGAAACAGACTTATCCTCAAATCTTCCTTCAACAAGCTGTCTCATAATGAACAGATGCTGAAAGACCTTCGAAAGATGAAACCAAACTTTCTTGATTTTGCCTACAGGACAAAATTCATATGATAATAGTGAAGTGTTTGGTCTCATTATTTCAGATTTTTGTACTCAAACCAACTTTAGACTTGAAGAAAAATATTCACATTTGCGATCACAGACAATCTCTGAGATTGTTTGGAGAGAAAGGGCTGAATCTAAACTTAATCATACCTGATTAAGGGCAACATTTCAAATTCTCCCATCAAAGTATTTCCCATCAACAGCCAGTATTTTACTTTATGAGCCAGAATACAAATGACACTTCCAACATCCTGCAGATGATCTGATGGGAAAACCAGAAGGGGGGGGGGTAAACATTTGCTGTTATTGTTGTTTACATCACTTTTTTTTAATGAAGATGTGACACCAGCTGCTGTAGTGGCAAAACTCTGCAGGCCTAATAAATGCGGAGCTGCTCGTCAAACTTTTTTCTCCAATGGGACAGAATCATCATCAGATCCATTCGGCAGCCTTAAGCTTCTCAAAGTCGGATTTAAATTGAAATAAGCTCACCGCCCCTCAGAGGGAAAATCACCATGAACCAATCAAGCCGGTTTGATTGTGATCGATACACTACAAAAATTTTGATTTGTCCTCATCAAACAAATGTTTTTTTTATTACTCTGTGATTTTATAGTTTTTTTTTTCATGTCTTCAGCATTTCAGTTTTTAATTGTTTTATTCATCTGCTGTCATTGTATTGATTTGTATCATTTTTTAGTCCATTTGGAAATTTACTCATTTCTTTTTGAGAACCCTTTTTGATTTTGCATACGATTGTAAAGTCTACAATTAAAAGTACCCACTGTAACCTTTTAGAAATAAAATAAGAATATGTTTAAATAATTCAAGAAGATATGCTTTTAATACACTTGATTCATCTCAGTCTAAATTAATTGTGTATTTTGAGGTTTCAGTTTCAGAAATCTGGTGTTAAATTTTGAATTTCTCCAAGGTCCTGGAAACTCACAAGAAAAACATGCAATTCTTGATCGTTTTTATCCAAGTGGTGCTTTTCAGACACACTTAATTTGTTAAATAAATGTGATGGAAGGATGTCTCTTTTGACTGAGCTCCATTTCTAAGAATCAGGGATGTTTTCACTATACTTTTATATCTTATATTTGGTGATGTCGCCACATTTGATTCTAAATCTGAGATAGCACTCGTAGGCCAGTTCCTCTGGATCAAAGAGGTCGTCTGTAACAGATTTATTTCTGGATAGACCTCAGTTCTGACTCCAGTTTATTTCAGTGCCAGTGGTTTGAAGTCCTTTTCCTTTATGGAAAATGTTTCTTCTGAGGGAGACTTGTAACTATACTGTTACCTGAGCAGAGTTAACAGGGTCTGATCATTATCCCTTTTATAGAGGGGGCTAGTTTTTATTAGATGGGATTTATTAGAGCTCCTATGTCGTCCTTTAAATTAAAAAGACTTCTGGAAATGTTATTAGATTCTTGATGCACGAATTCAGACCTTTTTTCTTTTTTTTAAGGAACGCATTTAAATCCAAATTAACATTATTTTATGCCTTTGTGTCTCAAAATTTTAATACATACACATTTGAAAAGAATACTGAAAACTTGAAAAGCTTTGATAAATGAATTTGAATTAAAGAAGAATTTGCCTACTCAAAATTAAAGTTATCTTTTACCAGTGTCTTGCATTGTTGAGTGTCTCAAACGTAGCAGCCCCAACCATTGCCTGTCAAAATTAAAATTTTGTCCTTTTTAAAATACACCAACATTATATTTCATATAGATATGGTCAATAGAAAACAAAATAGCTAAAAATACAACTTAAAAATATAACTAATGTGGTTTATTCACTTTTCTTTTTTTTTTTAGAACGGCCTAACTTGTTGAACCAACGATTTGGGGTCCTGCTTCGGTTCACACGGAAACCAATGACCGATGTTTGTTTTGCTACCATTAGCAGGTAAAAGTCTAATCCTTCAGCAAAATTTACAATCTGTTGTTCCATTTTGTCTGTGAATGTACGACATATAATTTAAAAATGTTTCTTTTAACAACTTACCACTTTTCTAACTGCCAATATATCACCACGGAAACGTTTGTTTACACTGGTGTCATGCATGCTAACTCAGTAGCTGCTAATGCTAACTATTGTTTTGGTTGGAAATTGCAAAAATGATACGTTATTTTTAGCTGTAAAGATCACTTTCAAATGAATTACATTTCAACTTAGGAAAAAGACACTTCCTTAGCTATATCGTTGACTTGTATGAGAGCATACATTTATATGCTGAGCATTGCAGCTAAGCTAGGTGGCTAGCTTCACCCAAGTCGCTGCGTGGGTGTGTGTCACAGTCAACACAGTGACAGAAGTTACGGTTAGAGTTCTTTCTCTTCTTTAACGTCTCATTTTTTACTCTGAGTATGCAATTCATATTACGTAATATCCCCAGTGTTTTTGACGATTTTTTTAGCTCTTGCAGCCCTTTGATTACCACGGCTGCAAAGTAATTTACCGCCACTTTTTCTACCTGTTAACGTTGTTCCAACTCTTCTTGTCAACTTCATACTTAAACACAGCCAGACTCCGTTTAGTCAAGCTTTTTATAGTTTCTATAAGCATAAGTATTCAGCAGCTACATTGATGCACAAAGGCATGTTAGTATGAACAGAAAACAAAACTTTATTAGTAGTAATGTAGTCCTCAATGGTATATATAGGTATAAATAAAGCCTGATTAGAGGGTGTGCAATGTGCTCCTTTGCAAACAGTTTTTATATGAATGTGAATATGAGTTTAGTCTTGATCATCCCAGGCCATCCATTGCAGAGTTGTACAGTCTTATGGCCACTAAAATGTGTTATTCCTTTTATTTGAGGAATATTGTAATACCATAAGAGCATGTGTTGGCTTTTCTGAACAGCCTCTTTTTGTTTTTTTACCTCAGTATGCCTGCTGAACGCAAATGCTCAGTGAACATGGATGACAAAGACGTTTGCGCCTTGAGTAACAAGGAAAAGGAGAAGGAACGAGAGGGTGAGAAAAGACCCGCACCTGCTCGAGACAAACCAAAAGAAGAAGCCAAGACCTGTGGGAAAAAAGATGGCGTCAAGGAGGAGAAGAGGAAGCGGCTAGAGGAAGAAAAGAAGAAGAAAGAGGAAAAGGAGCGGAAAAAGAAAGAGGAGGAAAAACTGAAAGCGGAGGAAGAGCAGAAGAAGAAGGAGGAGGAGGAAAAGAGGCAGCAGGAGGAGGAAGAGAGGAAGGTCCTGGAAGAGGAGGCCAAACGACAGCGTGAGGAAGAGGCAGCTCTCCTCAAGTAAGTGGCGGTCAGCTTAATTGTTGTCATGTGCTCGCGTTGAGCATAGAAATCTGTAGCTTCCGAGTTTTTATTCAGATATGTCAGATTGTGAGTATTTATCATCTCCATTTCAACATCTGGCTGCACATCTTAAATAAGGGTGTTACATGGATGTGTGAGTGGACATGTGACCTATTCCCCACAGAAAATATTTAACAACAATAACATCTAACATATAGTTAGCCCTTTTCCAGTGCATGAAAAAACTACTCGTCTTTGTACAAAAGTTGGTTGTTTGGTTGTTAAACTTAAACCGCGTACACAGAGAAGTCTTGCAATATCTTGAAAAATATCCCATCTATGCATACAAAATACTGTCCACATTTGAAAATATAAGCCGCCTTATATGATGGGGAAACATAATTTTGCCGTTTCGCTTCTTTTCCTTCATCCAATGACATTGTTGCTGCAGGGAAAAGGAAGAAGGCCACCAGCTGCACCAGGAGGCGTGGGAGCGCCATCACTGCCGGAAGGAGCTCCGCAGCAAGAACCAGAACGCCCACGAGGGCCGGCCCGAAGAGGCCTTCTTCTGCCGCCTGGACTCCAGCCTGAAGAAGAACACGGCCTTCGTCAAGAAGCTGCGCACGCTCACCGAGCAGCAGCGCGACGCGCTCTCCCACGACTTCGCCTCGCTCAACCTCAGCAAGTACATCGGCGAGGCCGTGAGCTCGGTGGTGGAGGCCAAGCTGAAGATCTCGGACGTGGGCTGCGCCGTCCACCTGTGCTCGCTCTTCCACCAGCGCTACGCCGAGTTCGCGCCGCTGCTGCTGCAGGCCTGGAAGAAGCACTTCGAGGCCCGGAAGGAGGACAAGGCGCCCAACGTGAGCAAGCTGCGCACCGACCTGCGCTTCATCGCCGAGCTGACCATCGTCGGCCTCTTCACCGACAAGGAGGGCCTCTCGCTCATCTACGAGCAGCTGAAGAGCATCATCGCCGCCGACCGGGAGACGCACACGCACGTGTCGGTGGTCATCAGCTTCTGCAAGCACTGCGGGGACGACATCGCCGGCCTGGTGCCGCGCAAGGTGAAGGCCGCCGCCGACAAGTTCGGCCTGGGCTTCCCGCCCAGCGAGATCATCGGCACGGAGAAGCAGCAGCCCTTCCAGAACCTCCTGCGCGAGTACTTCACCTCCCTCACCAAGCACCTGAAGAAGGACCACCGGGAGCTGCAGAACATCGAGCGGCAGAACAGGTAAGCGCGGCCGTTCGCCGGCCTCTATCTCTCCGTCCGGTCACCGTCCTAACCGGGTTTCGCTCTTCGTCCCGCCCAGACGCATCTTGCATTCCAAAGGGGAGCTGAGCGAGGACCGGCACAAGCAGTATGAGGAGTTCGCCACGTCCTACCAGAAGCTGCTGGCCAACACCCAGTCCCTGGCCGACCTGCTGGACGAAAACATGCCCGAGCTGCCTCAGGACAAGACCGTGCAGGAGGGTGAGTGTGTGGCTGTTCGTGTCCACGCCGGCGAGGATAGTCCCCCGTTTATGTGTCCTGACCAGTGTTGGGGAGTAACGGATTACATGTAACAACGTTACGTAATTTAATTACAAAAAAAGAGTAACTGTAATTCGTTACAGTAACTATGAGAAAATATGTAATTGAGTTACAGTTACTTCCGAAAATATTAAGAATTAAAAATTTAGTTAAATTTTTTAAAAAATATAAAGAAAAACCTTGGCAAAATATGCAACTCACTGATAGACGAAGCGTATTGATTTACTAATATTTGACTGTTTGGTGTTGATGCATGACAAACGTTTATCGATGTCTATGACCTAGCCTAGCCTAGACTACCTAGCCTACCCAACTGTAGGGTGACCAGACGTCCTCATTAAAACCTTAAAGTAATCAAAAGTAATTAGTTGCATTACTTTTTAAAAGTAATCGAAAAAGTTACACTACAATTACATTTTAAACAAGGTAACTTGTAACTGTAACGGATTACATTTTTAAAGTAACTTACCCAACAATGGTCCTGACAAAGTCTCTCCCTCTCCGTTCTCTCTCAGAGCACGGGCCCGGCATCGACATTTTCACCCCGGGGAAGCCTGGGGAATACGATCTGGAAGGCGGGATCTGGGAGGACGAGGACGCTCGGAATTTCTACGAGAACCTGGTGGACCTGAAGGCCTTCGTACCGGCCATCCTCTTCAAGGACAACGAAAAGAGCCAGGGCAAAGAAAAAGACGAAGCCAAAGGTATGTGTCGCTAATCTAAAGACAAATCAGGAAGGAGGCAGACGCAGAGTTTCTATTCTAACCCAGTTGCTGGTGCAGATGGCAGAGAGGGGAAGGACCTGGCCAGCACCACAGAGGAGCTGGAGCTGGAGCTGGAGGCTTTGGACATCGCAGACGAGCCACTGGAACTGGAGGGAGCGGACGAGGTTGAAAATGAAGAGCTAGCCAAAAAGATCCTGGATGAGCAAGGTCAGCACGAGGACCGGAAACCTTAGAAACCTCTTTTTTGTACGAAAATGTGAGAAAAGGATGTGTCCATTGGGATGGAAGTTTACAATAATAACAATATCATGCTAAAAGTATCTTATAGCAATAAAAGAAAAAAGTTATCCAGGAAAACAGAACAGGATTTTAAAAAAACAAGCTCAAAACAGCTCTCCCTTCATTAGTTTGAGCTCTCGGACTGATAGCAAATCTTTTGACCCCTCTACGGTCTAATACTAGTTGTTTATTAAGTTTAGAATTAGCCTGAAGTGGATTGCCATCTGCATTAATTTCTGCGTGTGTAGAACAAGAGGACGAGGAGGCCAACACGGGCTCACACTTGAAGCTAATCGTGGACGCCTTCATCCAGCAGCTTCCCAACTGCGTGAACAGAGACCTCATTGACAAGGTAATGCCTGAATGAACGGCTTAAAAGATGCGTAGTGCAGGTAGGGTCCTGCAGGTTATTGTCAATGGAGTCAAACGTATTTGCTTTGTTGACTCCTGCAGGCTGCGATGGATTTCTGCATGAACATGAACACCAAATCGAACAGGAGGAAGCTGGTCCGAGCCCTCTTCACCGTACCTAGGCAGAGGTAGGGCTAGGTCCAGGCCTTGGAAGTTCTCAGAAAGAAAGAGATGAAAATAACAAAATCTTCTTATTCTTTTTCTACTCGTATAATTAAGTAGCCATTAGTTTGCGATTCCTGATTTAGATGTTTGAAACTGTGGCGTCTCCTGAGATATTTCATACCTTAAAACACCAGAGGGGGGCGCCATCAGCTATGAAAAGTGGAGATCTGACTCCTGTTCATCTTGCAGGTTGGATCTTCTGCCGTTTTACTCTCGCCTTGTGGCAACTCTGCATCCCTGCATGTCGGACGTGGCCGAGGATCTCTGCTCCATGCTGAAGGGAGACTTCAGGTTTCATGTAGGTTCGCTTTTAAAATCCGATTTATCTGCAAGATCTTTCCACGAGTCGGTCCGTCCTCTTGTCTTCTTTGAAATTGTTTTACAACGCTTGGAATAAAGAGCCTTATTCTTTGGATTTATAGATTCGAAAGAAAGACCAGATCAACATCGAGACAAAAAATAAAACTGTCAGATTCATCGGAGAGCTGGCCAAGTTCAAGATGTTCACGAAAACAGACACACTGCATTGTCTCAAGGTGGGTGAAGAATTGGAACCTGAGTTTTATCACGCATTATAAAAGCTGTAAGCTAGTCCTGACACTTTTATCCCCTTTGATAAATGAACCTCTCTTCACCTCTGTGTTTTGGAGGATTCGGTTCGTAAAAATAACGTGTGCGTGTGTTGCTCAACAGATGCTGCTGTCCGATTTCACCCACCACCACATCGAGATGGCGTGCACGCTGCTGGAGACCTGCGGCCGGTTCCTCTTCAGATCCCCGGACTCCCACCTGCGCACCAGCGTGCTGCTGGTCAGTGCAGACCCCCGGCGCTTTCGCTCTGGCCGAGTCGGAGCGGAGGACCAACAGGATGGTTTACATCCCCTAAAAATAGGGGACGTAAACCATCAATGGGAGCAGTTCTTGTGATGCCAGTAGACTTTGAACTTCTTTTCATAGGGGCAAAACATGGCAGCTTTTAGTCGCTCATTTTGATGACCCAAAACGATTTCAGAACCTTTTTTCTTTTTTATTGTCCAATAAGAAGAATTGGTTCTACCCTTTTTTTCCTTTTTTTTTGCCCTCCAGGAGCAAATGATGCGTAAGAAGCAGGCGCAGCACCTGGACGCGCGCTACGTGACCATGGTGGAGAACGCCTACTACTACTGCAACCCGCCGCCCATGGAGAAGACGGTGAAGAAGAAGCGGCCGCCGCTGCAGGAGTACATCCGCAAGCTGCTCTACAAGGACCTGTCCAAAGTCACCACGGAGAAGGTGCTGCGCCAGATGCGCAAGCTGCCCTGGCAGGAGCCCGAGGCCAAGGGCTACCTCATCTGCTGCATGGTCAACATCTGGAACGTCAAGTACAACAGCATCCACTGCGTGGCCAACCTGCTGGCCGGCCTGGTGGCCTACCAGGAGGACGTGGGCATCCACGTGGTGGACGGAGTTCTGGAGGACATCCGGCTGGGCATGGAGGTACGGGCCGAGGAAACGTTGTGTTAAAAACTGATCATTTGCGTTCTGTTTTAACTCAGTCCAAAGCCAGTTTTGGACATAGCGCACGGTCAAATTAAAGCAGTGAAGCAATAGGCAAATATATCTGAATGCCCCATAACATGTAGAATACTCAGAGCAGTGCACTTTAGAAAGTACAAAGGTCAAATTAAATCAAAGGATGCATGGTGTAGTGTGACTAGGTGATGATAAATGTGGGTCTATACAGGAGTTTTGCTTGTTGAAAATGCTAATGTGAAACAAGCTCTATGTAAAACTGTCTGTCTGTTTAACGTGAGCCTTACAAAGAGTTCCCATTCTCTAAAAGTCGGTTCCCGTTCAGTAAAACACACTTGCGTCAGAACTCTTCGACAAAAATAAAAGAAACATTTATATTGGGAGAATATTATAAATGCTGGAAAAACACCTTTTTAAAAAAAGTGTGTGTGTACCAAAATGATGAGTTGGTGGAAAAACGATCATCATTGCAGGAGCGCTGCTCAGAATAGTAAATTCTTCCAAATTTCTACATTCATATCCAACAAATGAAGTGGTTTTCCTCCCCTCACTTTTGGTTTAAGCACTTTCTCGTTTTCTTGCTCATGAAAACACACCGTAACAGTTTTAAGCTCAAATCAAAACGCCTTTCCTGGTCTCTAATGGAAGATTCTGCACCCACTTTCACCTGGGATGTTTTGGTTTGGTGTTAGTCAAAGCAGGACTGCCCTCAAAGCTCTGTATAGGGTTTTTGCTCGTTTTGCATGCTTTAACCACCCCGTCCCGATCACACCGACATTTAAAACAAAGCTTAGAGCTCCCTGAAACATTTCTAAAAAAATCTTTTATAGAATTTGAGTTGCTCCTACATTAGTGTGTCTAAAGCTGACTTGCCCTCTGATGATGCGGGAGTAGGACGGCTCCCCTGCAGGTTTTAGACATTTCCCTGCCTCTACACACTCGATTCTTATAAAAACAAGTTTCCTCAGAACATCGTTAAGCTCTGCACATGCCTGCTAACAGCACAAGAGCGGAGTTCATCAAAGCACGTTGTCGGAGTGCTTTGCGTTTAACATAGTTCAGGTCTTCGGTGCATTCCTCCGTGCTGATTTAGGACTGAGGACAGCTACGTGTTGCAGGACATGTCGGAATGTGGTCGGGCTCCGGGAGGTCACGGTTTTGCAACCGGACTTTAAATCCGTCTTGAGTGACTGAGGACTTGAAAAACGTGAAACGTCTCTGAGCACAGGTTACAAACGATGTTCGGCCATCTGCTCGGTGACCTCCTATCTTCAGTGAGCTCAATTTTCTGTCATTTGAAACAACAGAGGGCTGGCCTCATTTTCAAGTGTGGACAGGAGAGCTTGAGACATTCGTAAACATTGTAGAATTCAGCGGGAGTCTAAAATAAACTGCTGATGGTCAAAAGAAATTAGACCACCTTTAGTACGTTTGCTTATGTAGTCGTCTGACTTGTTGAATATGCTGTTGTTCTTGTTACTGTTTGAGGAAGGGGCTTCATGATTACTTTTCCCACCCGCCTCTTTTCCCAGGTGAACCAGCCCAAGTTCAACCAGCGGCGGATCAGCAGCGCCAAGTTCCTGGGCGAGCTCTACAACTACCGCATGGTGGAGTCGGCGGTCATCTTCCGCACGCTCTTCTCCTTCATCTCCTTCGGGGTGAACCCGGACGGGAGCCCCAGCCCCCTGGACCCCCCGGAGCACCTGTTCCGCATCCGCCTGGTCTGCACTCTGCTGGACACCTGCGGCCAGTACTTTGACCGTGGCTCCAGCAAACGGAAGCTGGACTGTTTCCTCATCTACTTCCAGGTTAGTAGCTCTTAATTCCCCCCACTGCTAAGTTTACGCCAAAACGTTCCCATGGGATCAATCAGATTTGAAAGTAACAAATCGATGTGTGCACAGCGCTACATCTGGTGGAAAAAGAGCGTGGACGCCTGGACTAAAGACCACCCCTTCCCCATCGACATCGACTACATGATCAGCGACACCCTGGAGCTGCTCCGGCCCAAAATGAGGCTCAGCTGCTCCCTGGAGGAGGCCACCAAGCAAGTCACCGACCTGGAGAGGGAAGTGCTCGTCAAACTAGGTGAGAGTGACACGCCATCGTGCGGGTGTTCGCGCAGCGGCCGGTCGCCCCGGTTCGGCCGCCCGGCGCCATTCCTGCCCAGCGGCATTCCCCAGCGTGTGGGAGGATGATGGTGGTGCTCCATCACCCCTTTCCCTGCTCTATCTGTCAGGTTTGGCTAGTTGAACCTCACACATACCAAACAGATGCACTCACCAGAAAGACGCAGTCACTCGCGGAAGTCCTCCGGCCACGCCCTGACCAGCCAGGCCTCTTAGCTCTAGGCAGGTCGTCATAATGTTCTAGCTACTGGGTAAAAAAGAGAAAAAATTATCTTATCATATCCATTTTAAGATTTCACCTATATGTCACAAGACTGTTTTGATTTAGTGTGAGATAGGGATGTCCGATCCAGATTTTTTCACTTCCGATCTGATGCCGATACCAGCCTATCAGAGCATGTATTAAAGTTTAAAGTTATTTAGCTTATTAACTTTATATTCAGACGAAGTTGAACAGGTATTTACTCTTATAACAACTTAATGGTTAGGACACAGACCTGTGGGTTAGGTGTGGGATCGGACTTTAAAAAAAAAAAATGGCTGGGGAGTGTGGATTTGGCATTTTCTCGTGCCGGCCGATATGCAGTTTTTTGCAAATATCAGCAGCTGATCCGATCCAAATATCAGTTCGGGACAAGCCTAGTGGAGACGCTCAGTCACAATGCACAGAAACTAAACAAAGCATATCAGCACAAACACCTCACAGCAGCTGTCGGCACGGCGGGGGAGGGATGATGATTTGGGCCGGTTCTGCCGCCGCAAAGGCCAGGAGCCCACCATGAACTTCCTCTGAGTATTAAAAGTCAAATGTGAGGCTGTCAGTGTGGCAGCTGGGACAACAGGACAACGTTCCCAAACACAAGATTAACTTTGACCCCCTTTTTTAAATGTTCAAACATACCAGGAGAAGTTGTTTTTCACAAAGCGAGTCATAGAAGGAGCTCGAACTGTCGAACGGGGCAATAAAAACCTCTTCAAGGTTAGCTCGTTCAAACACCTGACTGATTTATGTTCACAGCGTCCAAACCAATCTGCAACGAGTTCAAAGGAAAGTTTTCTCTGTCAACAAACCGCATGAAAAGAGCAAATGAAACTGTAAATCTGTCCCTTTGTCAAGTATCACTTCTATAGCCAAAGAGTTACTCTGTGTCAGATGGGATTATTGAGACGGTCCATGTTCGTAGAAAAGGATTGTTTAAAAATTGCTTAAATAACTGTTGATTTAAAGAGAGGTACAAAGCACTGTGCATAGGGTCACGAGTCAGTCTTAGATCCTTTATGCGTTTTGAGGCAAAAGACACATTTCTGATGAGCTTTGAGCTCCTTTAAGTACATTCCAATTCTCCTCTTTGGAGTCTGAATCTCCCTGTTAATAACCAGGCGAGGAGGATGGGAACATTTCTGGAGCAGGTGTATCTGGCTCTGATAACAAGTCAGAGACAGAGCTTTGTTTCAAAGTATCAAGGTGTCGACCTGGAATGCGGAGAAGAATGTGAGCGGCTCCACCCCCTGAGAGGAACGGAATTTGTGGCTCCAAGCTTAGCGTGGAATAAAACTACCCTGCTCGATAAGAAGGGCCTTACTTATATGTTCTGATCCAAGCCGCCATACGCGAGAACCCCCAGTCCAGTCCAGGGAGCGATGGGGGGTTGTCTGAGAGGAAAGGGGCGGATGTTGTTGCCCAGAATGGGGAAATGTGCTCTCCCCATCTGATATGCGTACGTGTCAAACCTGATGCTGTGTGAACATGAGAAAAAAAAAGAGGGTGACTGATAGAGGCCGCTCAAAGCTAAATGGGTCTATTGTTACCTCTCATAGTTCCCTCAGGATAAGGCATTCCTGGCCTCCCCAGTCAAACCAGACCGGATCTGCAGCCTGACTTTCTGCAGCGTCACCACAGGATCGCAGGGCTTTTATTTTGGGCTTGCAAACAGAAGAAACAATTACGTCCAAACCCTGCCTGCCATTGTGCTGCGGCGTATTTCTAACCGAAGCCTCTGTGTGTGTGTGTAAAGCCGCTGTCCTGTTTTTCTATCTCCTCCCGACCCAAGGCCTGGCCATGGAGCGGGACGGGCGCTCCAGCGCCATGAGCGAGGGGGAGGGCCTGGACGAGGAGGACGACGATGACGACGAGGAGGGCGGGGCGGAGACCGAGGAGCAGTCGGGCAACGAGAGCGAGATGAACGAGCAGGAAGAGGATGTGAGTCCCACGGAACAGATCATCCCCGCCTTTTTAAGCCCTCCTTTCATCCATTTTCGGGGCTTTAGCTGCAGGTTGCTTCCCTGACTAAACACCAGGAGCTCCCAATTACATCTGGCTGCAGACTGTAGGAAGCCACGGATGGATATCCAACTCCACCCACATCCAAGTCGGCCATTTTGATTAGGTCACCAATAGGAAGATCCCAGGCAAGAAAAATCCTAATTGCTTCATGGCAATATAGACATTCATTTAAAAATAGTGAAATGAATCTTGCAAACACTGAATTAAACTCTATATTATGTTAAAATAGTGTATGTTAGATAGGTTTGTACAATAAGTCCAAACAAGTTTAACCAAAAAATATTAATCTCTCACAATCATGAAGGATAGAGGGTTAGGGTTAGGTTTAGGGTCAGGGTCAGGGTTAGGTTTAGAACATCGTTTGTCTTCCGATTTCGTATAGACAGTTTCGTATCCACCTCAGGAAGCTGCTAGTCACATGACCTAAACAAAATCACCTACTTAGATCTGGGAGGAGTTGGATATCCTACCGAGGCTCCTACAGGCTCCGGCCGTGTTTCTGGGTCAGCAGGTCGTCAGGTTTTTGACGAGCCGGTTTAGTTTTGTTCAGCAAAAGTGGGACACATGTGGGTACTTTTCCAGACTTATCTGGACGCCTGTGGGCATTTGCCCCGCGTCCCACTGTGTGCTTTGGTGTGGAACCCGATTAAATCTGGAGCAAAGCTGGAGGAATGTCTCAGTATGTGCACTTCTGAATGGTCATCAGTCACAACGCTGTGCTGGATGAGGTCAAAGTCCACGTCCAGTCCTGACTGTCTGAAGCCTTACTGTATGGGAGAGCTGACATATATCCCACAATGCACTTTGTGCTAGCACACACTTGTCTTCAGATAAACGAATAAAGGATCAGAGCTGCCCGTGTTTGGGCATCAGTCAGTAGTTCTGCAGCTGAATTACAACTTAGATTTTAAATTGTTATGCCAAATTGTTTGGTCAAATTTCATTGTTTTAAACGAATAGTTTGAAGTGTCTTGTATGAATAAGATGTATTCAATTTGACAACATGGAAGACACCCTGTCTCTTTTCCCTCAGCGGGAACTTTAGATATTTCTGGCCAGCTCTGATGTCTCTCTTTGATTTTGGGTTACATCAGAAAAGGGTCCCAGAGTAAGACATTTCTTGCATCCAAAGCTGAAATGACTCCTTTCTGGGGGTGTTCCATCATCACTGTTTTTTAACAAACCCAGGCTTTCTTCCTTTCGGTATCAGTGCTTAAAGGTCCACGTAGGTACTGAATATCATCTGTTACAAAAGACTGGAGTAGCCAAATCAGTAGATTTTTTTTACTGTTGTCTGAGTTTCCCTTGAAACAGCAGTTGGTAAAAGTCTTTCCTTTTTGGCACGAGATGGAACAGGTTCAGGGAAGCAGCCTTATCTGGAATCTCCGTCTATTATCTGACTTTTTGACCTTTCCTTCCTCATCGTTGTATCGATTAAAACTTTTTGTCACATGTTAATCTGCTGGAATTTTCTTCTTTTTTTCCCCCCCACTGCAGGATGGATCAGAAAATGAAGAAGAGGAGCGGGAGGAGGACGATGAAGAGAACACAGACTACCTTACAGACTCCAATAAAGAAAACGAGACCGACGAGGAAAACAATGTAAGATGTTAAAGAAATTAAAAACATTCTGAGGCTTTCAGCGTAGTGAAGCTTTGGGCAGTTTTTGGGTCTGGTTAAATGAACGCCTGTGTGTGCAGGAGGTCACCATCCGCGGCGGGGGCCTGAAGCACGTGGCCTGCGCCGAGGACGAGGATTTTATTCAGGCTCTGGACAAAATGATGCTGGAGAACCTGCAGGTATGAGCTCCCGCCTCACACCCGCCCACTGAAAGCACATTATTTATAGAAAAGTATCCAGTGGGGGGACGAAAGAAGCCCAACGTCGGTGTAAATGTATTCGTTTTAAAGGAATCTTTTGATAATCTCGTAGAAATAAATCATTTCCCTCTGGGATTATTAAAGTATTTCTGATTCTGATTGAAATGCTCAGTCTTTATTTAAAAAACGGACAGAGATCTGACATTTTTAGATATAATTCAAAAAAGGCTTTTTGTTTCGGCCTGTTTTAATTCATTGTAATATTTTGACCGGTTTTGGACTCATTCTTAACCTTTTCAGTTGAGTCTTTCCTCTAGCTTTGACCCCCTCCGGGTGAATGCCTAGGGTCACCACCAAAGAGCCGGTCTGGCCCGTCCTGACGTGTGTGTGTGTGTGTGTGTGTGTGTGTGTGTGTGTTTGGGCCCCGCAGCAGCGGAGCGGCGAGGCGGTGAAGGTGCACCAGCTGGACGTGGCCATCCCCCTGCAGCTGAAGAGCCAGTTGAGGAAGGGCGGCTCCGGGCAGCAGTGCATGGGGGAGGGGGACTCGGACATCTCCGAGACCATGCAGTTCGTCATGCTGACCCGCAAAGGCAACAAGCAGCAGGTGAGCCGCCCGGAGGGTCAGACGCACGCGTGGCGTCCTCCAAACGGCCCCGTTCGCCCCCGTGTTGAATAACCACAGCAATGCACACCCGTACCGGCTTTAAACTGCCGGGAAAACACACTTTTTCCTGTGTTAGCATCCAGCCTACATGAAGCATTGTTTAGGGTAGCCATTTGTCCCAATGCTAAATCTGCCTCTGCAGCTCTGTTTTTGGTTTTCATGTTTTCATACGGGGCGGCACGGTGGTGTGGTGGTTAGCACTGTCGCCTCCCAGCAAGAGGGTTCTGGGTTCGAATCCCGGGGGAACCAGGACCTTTTCTGGGTGGAGTCTGCGTGGGTTCTCTCCGGGTTCTCCGGCTTCCTCCCACAGTCCAAAAACCTGCATGTTGGGCTGATTGGAGATTGGGGAAATTGCCCTTAGGAGTGAATGTGAGTGTGAGTGGTTGTTGGTCCTTGTGTGTCTCTGTGTGGCCCTGCGATGGACTGGCGGACTGTCCAGGGTGTACCCTGCCTCTCGCCCGTTGACCACTGGGATAGCCTCCAGTTCCCCCCGCGACCCCATCAGGGAATGAGCGGTATTGATAATGGATGGATGGATGTTTTCATACGGAGTTTGGGACCGGTGCTTCCCTCCACAGCTGGATCTGCTGCCAGTAGTCAGTCGTAGGCCGGTGCTCCTCTCCACGAACAGAGAGCCTGCTTTAGATATGCTGTGCATGCTACTGAGCTGTACAAAGACGCGTGTGTGTGTGGTTTGAGGGCGCTGGGTGTGTCCGGCCCTCTGCCGCCTGCTCCACGCCGCCCGGCTGTGTTTAAAGGACGGCTGCCAGGTCTTACACCGGGCCGTGCCGACACAGGGGATCTTTGTCCGTGGGGGTGTGTGGATGGGAAACAAGCTTTCTGTCTCCGTAAACACATAGCAGCCACGAACACAGGCATCCTGTGTGTGTGTGTGTGTTTATGTGTGTGTGCTCTGTTGGGTGCTGGATGTGTTCAAGCCTCACAAGTTTGCCCCACAGAACCTGGCTCAGCGTCTGTATGAACAGGGTGTTTGTACCGGGCTCAACTCGCTCCCCTTACGTTTAAAGGCGGGCTTTTCCTCAGCGAGAATTACGGTTTTCGGGGAACTGGTAGAAACGTTAGTCGACCTGAGTATCAGGAACCAGAATTTTAATAAATTGAGACAATGGGAAACTCTGTCGCATCACGTTGCCACGTCATCAGGGTGGATCACCTACTACCGTTGTTGCCTGCATATTTTTTGGCTTAGTTTGGGTAAAATGGCAAAGGTAAATCAAATGGAAGCCGTGGCTAATCCGAACTAATTCAGTCTTGTCTGTGAATGCAGGATCGGCTACTGGGATGGACAGATTGGCTTTGAAGTTGTTTTAGAAGTGTGTGAATTTTCAATTTATTTAAAAATCCTAAGAATAAAGAGGCCTCTGAATATATTCAAATGTGAAGATTGCTTTTACTTTGCGTCATCTCACCGGAAAAACACGTGTGTGTCTTTCAAATGCGCTGAGATTTGACAGACTTTAATGCATTGATTAGATCATTTTGGGGTTTTTTTGCAGAAAGAATAAGTAATTGTTAGTGCTCTGAGTGAAACTTTTCGTGTGCCAGTGCCCACATGAGGCCTTAGTCCGACCAGACTTCTCCTCTTGGCCGACACCCGTTTGCCTGTGTGTGTGCTCCCGCAGTACAAGATCCTCAACGTGCCGCTGTCCTCCCACCTGGCTGCCAACCACTTCAACCAGCAGCAGGCCGAGCAGGAGGAGCGCATGAGGATGAAGAAGCTCACTCTGGACATCAACGAGAGGCAGGAGCAGGAGGACTATCAGGGTACGGGCTCTGCTCTGTTTGGGTCAGCTTTAAAGGAACAAGCTCATCTCCAGTCATTTGACTCTACTCTGTTAGATCAGCTTTGCTCGGATACCTCTGAAATAATGATCTTTGGCTTTGGAGAAGCCTCCTTTTGATAATGTTGCTGGATGACGAGACTCATGCCCTTTTAGCCTAAACAGCCTAAACCTTTAGTCTTCTTCCAAAGTCAGCGTTTCGCAGGTCCTTTTCAGAAAACTATCGTCTGTGAAGTGAAGCCAACCAATCCAAACCTTCTCCCAGACTAATGCATGCGTATACCTCCTGTTTTTAGCTTTTAGTGCTGATAATGTATCAATTCAATCACTAAAGAAAGATAAAAGCTTTCATTAAGGGTTCCTAAAGCTGAGTGGAAGCAGCTCTGACGGAGTCAGGCTCGTTTTTCGGTAGACGCCCCGCTCTAACCGCCTCTCCTCTGACGCGTTGCAGAGATGATGCAGTCCCTGGCCCAGCGTCCGGCTCAGGCCAACACCAACCGGGAGCGCCGGCCTCGCTACCAGCACCCCAAAGGGGCTCCCAACGCCGACCTCATCTTCAAAACTGGAGGAAGGTGAGCCCAGAGCCCTGATACACCGGGCACCGTCCGACACCCCCCCCCAAGGCAGAACGGGAGGGGCCGGGGCTCTGGATCCCGCGCACTGACAGATCCCCGCTGGTGTTTCTTTGAACAGAGTGAAAAAGGAAAGACACGAAAGGCAGGAGGTCCAAGACAGGCAGAGAGAGACAGACAGGAAAGTCAAGCAGGAGAGGCGTGTCACGGACTAGAGTAGAACGACTGGAGCCGCAGCATATCCAGACCAGGGATGAGTTTCAGACAAAAGAGTTTTTCTTCAGCAGCTCAGAGTATTTGGAAGAACAGTTCTAATTAGAATGTTTCTTGCTTTGGTAAAAAAGTTTAAACTCCATAATGGTAATAAAACCCCTTCAAACCTTTCTTTATCGGTTATTTTCTGCCATATTTCTTTCTCGGTTGACAAGACCAAAAGTCTTAAAAAGAGTCAGCAATCGAGCTGTGATGAAGGGAAGAGTTGGAGAGACACAAAAAGGAATAAATATGTAAAGAGATAAGAAGACAGTGACTGACTCATCAACATAAATGCCTCAAAACAGAAGAAAGATAGAATAAAAAACCAAGTTATGGCAGAAATACAGGAAAGCCAAACAGAATAAAGCTGTTTAATCTGTTTAATCACAAAAAAAAACAGTGAAATATTGAATGGAAACAGAAAAGAACATTGTTGATGGATGTGAAATGTAAAAGAAGCGAGTGATTTGCCATTTAATGGACACAACAGGCTAATTTAGCTTTTAGCCTACACGGCTAGAGCCCCTTTGTGTTGTGTGACTGTGCGGTCAGTTTCCCTGACCCGTCCTGTCCCGGGAACAGTCAAACTGCAGTAACCGTCCTGCTGTGTCCTCCAGGAGACGCTGATGGGAGTCTGGGCTGAGCAAGCGAGCAAGAGTGAGATCGAACGCGCAAAAGAGAGAGAGAGAGAGCGAGGGGAAAAAAAGACGCCACCGAGGAGATCGTAAAGCGGCCGCGGCCGGGTACGAGTCCCACCCGCGCCGGGACAGACCACACCCCCCTGACCTGAACACACAGCGGTCCCCCGGAGCAGCGAGTGGAGGGGGCAACGCCGCGAGCTGGGGGTCAAGAGTCAGGGCTCAGGTAGACGGCTCTCTTTCTTTTTTGTCTGTTGCCACGAAAAAAAAACCCAAAAAAATCTCGACATGTCTGGACAAGACGACGCACAGCCGACCGGCAGACTGATGGCGGGACGACCGGGGGACGAGGCCGGACCAAGGGGTCGGCCCCCCACTGCCCATCCGGGGAGTCGGAGGGGCGGGGGGCAGACGGCAGACTCGTGTTTCGGGAGCTAAAAGCTGCCGGCGCGCAACCGGATATTTTTTCGTTTCTTCCTTTAAAGTTTGGACTCACCGAGAAAACGCCAGGGAGGCGTCCGGTCGGTCGGTCGGTTGCCTAGAGACTCACTGTGTCCAGAGACTCTAAACGCAGAGGATGACCGCTAAAGCCACGGCCGGCCGTTTTAGTAGGTTTCACAGCGGCGCGGCGACTGTCCCGCTCTCATCTGTCCACTTTTCCCTCCGTAAACCCTCCATCATTGCTAGAACCGTCTGCTTTTTTGAGGTAGAGTACTTTGTGTTTTCAGGGACCACAAAAAAACGGTGACGGAAACAAAAAAAAAAAGCACCAAATCAGCTCATTTTGTCACAGAGATAATGGAGGAGCAGCTGGAACGGGTCCAGATGTTTAGGGGTGTTCCTGCCTGTTTTGTTTTTTTTTCTTCTGGCTTTAGAAGTGTTCTACAGTTCGTGTATCACGTCTCACCACCATGACCACCTACTTCAAATGTCCTGTTAATTCCACGTAGAAACCCTCTCGCAAAGCTAATCAGAGCTGAATCACTTATCCATCAATTAACTAGTTGAAAAATAAAAATGTGCTTATTATTTGATTAAGCGTCCTTGTTCCTGCAGAAATGTTGCCTTTTTTGCAGTTCAGTTGTTTTTCTGTTTTTTTTTTTTCTCTAAGGGGGGGTGCTTAAAGATTTTTATTTTCGAACATCAAACATTTAGATTTGTGGCATTTCCAGATGTGGAAAAGCCAGCACATCGCCCAGAACTCGGCCTATTTATGTCCTCCATCTTTCAGATGAAACGTATCCAAAGCCACGTCATTCATGAACTCCAGATATTTGTTTGGAAGACACTTGCTTATGGGTTTTTTTTTACCTCTGACTAAAGTGGCTTGCTTACTAATTCACCACAGCAACAAACCCAGAGGGCGTGAAACCTCCTCTAGAGCCCTTTTACCGAGAGATGCTGTTTCTTTTTCACAAATAAGTCCCACTTTGATACAAAAGATCACCGTGCTGTTTTGGTTTTTTTTTAGCTGAAACGGCTTCAATCGATGGGAAATAACAACAGAACACTTTTTGGAACGTACACGTTTACTTTATCGCTAAATTCTAAGACTTGAGCCACTGTAAAACATCCACAGACAGTTGTCGTAGCTCAGGACAAAGATGGGAATTGAGGGAAAATTTTTAATTTTTCTTCCAAAAAAATGTCAGGAAAATCCCATACCTTTAAAAGCTAATGAATCAAGATATTTAATTTGAATGGAAAAAAATAGAAACATTTCCATATATATATATATATATATATTCAGCTAAAAAATGGGACAAAATTCTATTTTTGTAATCTTGTTGAAATATCATGTAAACAGTCCTTAACAGGCTGCATCATCCAGAGCTTTTTCATTTGTCGTGGCGACGTTCAGCTTAGTTTTGTGTGGTGTGACTGCTTTTGGATTAATGGATAACTGTGTCTGAGAGTCCTCCTACACGATGACGGGCACATTCCTTTTAAATGGAGTTAACCCCTTAAGAACTTGGATGGATCTGATCTCCTGCATGAGCCTCTGCACCAGCTTTCCTTTGCTGTCGTAAAAAAAAGCAACATTTTGCTTTAGTTTGTCTGTGTGTAGACGCAAAACTATTGTCGAACTGCAAAAAAAAGAAAAAACAGCCGCAGCTTTGTGTCACAGCTCACGATAAAGACGATTTACCGAAAATAAAGACGTAGATGGTCACAGCTCCGTTTCTTTTGTGAACAAAGTGGGTCCTCGGCTCGACGGCTTGTGCATGTTTGCGAGGGTGTGTCTGTTTGTTGAGGTCTAATTACAAGGCAGCAAACTTCAGCATTTCCTCATTTCCTGCCAAGACTTTCCTCTAAACACTTCAACTGTAGATAAATGCCCAGCACGCTTGGATTAACCTGTTGGTGGGGGCAGAGCCCTCTAAATAGCACATTTAGACTTCATTTCCTGTTAAGTTACAACCGCTCTGCATTTTTATAATACTGAGTAGAAAACGTATGAGGTATTAGTTTATTTAAGAAGGATAGATTAAATGTAGAATTTGGTGTTAAATCCCTCTTTGTGGAAATCTGGAAGGATGAAGGCATATTTTTTTCATTTAAAAATGAAAAGGCATTCACTCTCATTTTCTTTGACTTTAAATTCTAGAAAGACTTGACTTAAACAGGACTGCATTTTTCAGGAGTCAAACCAGCCTGAGAGGCCTCTCTTTAGCAGAGTAATCCCTCACAACACCAGCCCTGATCTGGACTGAAGGGCCGGAATTTTGCTGGAATTACAACAAGCTGAAAGGTTATTTTAGGACAATTGATAATTGAGTTTTCGTCAGGCTAAAGAGACCAAAACTAATCCGTACACTGAAGTTTGAATCATACCAGCTCTATGTTTTATTCTATGTTCATCATGAATTGATTTGCATTGTTAGGAAAGGTGGATTCAGTTTAAGAAAATAGGACATTGCACTATGCAGCCCAATGGAAAAGTAGAACATAGGATAGTTTTTCTTTTGTTTTATTGGACAAAACAAACTTACACAGTCATCATGCTCTCCATCTGAAGCGACCAAGTAAGTAGAGCAACAATGAAAACTTTGAAACCTCAAAACTAAACAAAGAAACAACTTTTAATGACGTTTCAAGAAACAGAAGTCATCCAGCATCCAGGGACGGGAGCCAGGCCCCAGTGGAAAGCACCAGCTCATCCCAGAGATGGAAGATGGACAGCCTTCAATCAGGACATTGACAGCACAGTAGGTCTGGGTTGACTCGGTCAAAAACAGGAAAAGTAAGTCCAGGATTCTTGTAGTTTGTTCAGAGGCAGCTTTGCATAAATGAGCAGGTTCACCATGTTCCAAACAAGCCACGCCTGTTTGGTCTTTTCATTAAGATAAACTTCTTTTATTAATTAACCAGCAGTGTTAAGTTTATTTTTTTAGTCTGAAATTGTACTTTATAACTTCTTAGAGATGGTTTGAAATATCAAATCTTTATTTAAATTACCTTTAGATTTCTTTTGTCATGTTTCATGTAAAGTTCCAGAGATATGAAATGATCCAATATGCTGTATAAAATTTCTAGACCATCACTTTTAAAAGAAAAAAAAGTACACCCATGTTATATTAATATGTTTAATATGTGACAAAAATTCAACATAAGATATGTTCAGAGTATTTACAGTTCATAATGTGGACATTTCAGTAGTCAGAAAGTGTACTAGGCTGTCCTACTAAAGCAGCAACTTTCACATAGCCACCAATATCCCACTAACCACACAGTAAAGCATTTGTATCCTTGTTCTTTTGCTGATAAATGTACTTTGCCATAACATGTCCTTACAAAACATGGCATTTTACACACAGTGCGTTCATACACTCCATGGACGCACCACAATAAACTTCAAAATAGCTGTAGCTGAACTACAGAGAACCGGAGTCTGTAAACAAAAATTTACTGGATATACTTCAAAAGTGACTGTAGGTGAACTACAGAGGCCGGAGTCAGGATAAAACACACACACACACACACACACACACACACACACACACACACACACACATACACATACAGGCACACATACGTATGTACAAACATAGTTACAACAGTTAAATAAACTTTCAAATATCAGAAACAGCAAAGTTATTGAAAACAGTTTGAAAAAGAAAAGGAACCCAGGGTGTATTTTTAGACTGTGTGGTTTTACTGCTGGCGTTTTGAACAATGTGCCCGTCCGTCCCTAAAAAGCTCTTTTAAAGTACTCCCTCCACATGGTAAAATGCAAACGTCCTGCCCAAAAACCTTTCCCACCAGTTTGTGGTTTGGTGTGAGAGGTTTTTCTCCGCGTAGTAAAAATACCCTTCAGCTCGTCTGGGCTTCATGTGCCTCAAAAACATCCAATCAGCAGCTCTGTTGTTCCCCTACATGTGATTCCCGGAGTACGGTGGGGGTATGTACCACTGAATGTCTAGTTTGTTGGATCTTCTGATAAGAAACTTGCTCTGCAGAAAAGTGCTATAAACCTTTTCCCAAAGCGAACCAAAACGAAAATCATACACACTGCCGACAGCTGGCGAACACACAAAGACAAAACCTGTTGTACTGCGGCAGAAGTGACGCAGAATCTCAAAATATTCAACACAACAAATTCATCTCCACTAAGAGTACAGATTTCTTATTTGTTTTCAATTTTAAAAAATGAAGATTTAGCAATCTACCTCTGAAAACTATCACGTGTAAATACACGTGATAAAACATCACAGAAGTATAAGATTTTTCATTATTTTTTCTCATGTAAACAAATTATCAAACAACCATTTTAGTCTAAATAGTATAAAATTAAACTCTTATCCCCAAACACATATATTACCTTTGTGGCTCAAAAGCTATTTAATCTTATTTCAAATCTTAAGAACAGTAATCATTTCTGCTTAATTTGTACTTTAGCAAGAGAACTTAGATTATATCCAAACATTTTAAACATTTTTACTGGCCATCTATGAAACATTCCTGAACTGCATTACTGATAACTCCTGTAATCTGGGTTGGTTCACTGGATACCGTTTGATTACCCATGTGGTTATTTAAAAGCAAAATTGTTATCGCAACAAGGAGGCGGACCAACAGGTGGTTCGCATCTAAAATGGAAGGTGCTCCCTTAAAGTCCTATGGCTATAAACAGATGTGCAATTCCAAACAAATGTCCACAAAGGAGCGGCTACATGACAGCCCCGGGTTGCCGAGGTTCCCGGAGAAGATGGAAAATGCAGCCTTTCGTAAGATTCAGTCTAACTTCTGACTTCTGATCTGACTTCCTGTTTTCAGAAGCTGACATTCTGACCAAACAACACATGAGCGGGATGCTGGTAATCCCCTCTCAGATATAAATGTTTGTTTTTAAAAATATGTGTGGTCAAAGAGCCGAGAGAAAAATAATCAAATTCATTTCTGTGAAAAGGCTCCAGTCGTCAATAGGTAGCAGTGGGTTTGAGCCTGTGGGGAAGGGTCAGGAGCTCTAAAGATGCTGAGAAACCCATCAGACAGATGGGATAACATATGTTCCCCCTTCCCTTTGCCCGTGTTACAGTGGCTCACAGTCAATCGGATGCGTGGTAACCACGAGGCAAAGTGGTTCTTGAATCCTGAAACAGGTGGGTCCTTTAATGGCGTGACAGTTTCGAAGATCTCTCGCGGAGATCTACAACGTCTTGAATGAGATTTGATGGAGGCAGGCCTTTTTTTCACAGAGAGATTATCGCACAGGAAGTGAAGAACAGGTTCTGCAGGTCAATCAGGAGGCTAGCTTCATTTCCTCATCATGCCTCTCACTAAGACAAGTGGAAAAATGTCATCACCGGCGGCAGGTAGATGCCAAAGACTCGTGGTCTTCAGCGGAACCGCACGGTAAATTAGTGGAAAACTCATCAGGACTCTTTGAGCAGCCCCAGTTTCCTCAGCGCCTCCCGGCGGGATTCGTCCATCTCCCCTCGTCCAGAGAACTGCACAGTGATCCCTTGGGAACGGAACATGGAACTGGACCTGGAACTCCGCCTGTGATCAGGAGACGGAGCCCGTGCCGCTGCTTTCTGAGGACTAAGACCACCGTGGTAGGAATGGCGGGGAGGCCTCGGGGCCGGAGTAGGGGGTGCAGCTTTGAAGTTCTTGGCCGGGATGCTCGAGCCACGATTTAATCCAGCGGCAGAGTTTATGCTTCGACTTTTTCCCCCGTAACTGTTGAGCTCAGCGGGGGCCGGCTCTGGTTTTACGGGCGTGGCTTGACTCTTGTCGATATGGGAGCTCAGGATGTCAGGCAAGTTGGTCCTGGTCATGGCTGCTGGGCAAGGGGTCATGACTTTGGTCTTTCCACCATAGGTGTTAAGCTCAGATGGGTTAGACAGTGCAGCTGGGAGGATTTTGGGTTCGTGGCTAGTCGGGGAGATTGGAGGTTCACTCCTTGACGAGACAGCCGGGTTAACCACAATGGATTTCCCTCCATAGTTGTTGAATTCCAAAGAAGTCATCTCAGTTGGAGGAGGGGAAGAGGCCTTGATTTCCAGAGGCCTGTTTTCTGTGAGTGTCGGAGATGATGGATTTAGTGGGGAGCTCCTATCATTGTGGCTCCTTTGGGAGTATGTCTGCGGAATCTCTGGTTTTCTGTCAGCGTGAATGTAGTTCGGGGGTGGTATCACAACATTGGGATCTGGTGAGTAGCTGCTGTGCGTCACTGGGGGACGAATGGTCTCCGGAGGTGTAAAAGTGATGTCCGGGCCTTTGAGGGGATCCGTTGAGTTGGTATTCGGAGTTTCTCCGGACATTGCTCGATTCCTTGTAAGGCCCAGCTTCGACAAAGCTTCCATCCTGGATTTATCTGGGGAAGGGTCCTTAAAGGAAATACTACGGGTGGGAACGTTTCGAGCCTTCTGTTCCTCAGCTGCCAGGGAATTTTCCTGGGGGAAATGGTGGGATGTACCGGACAGGTTAGCCAGCATCTGATCCCGTCTCTCCTGGATGTTCACATTGGCGGCAGGTTGCTTCTGGTGCTCCTTACTGCCGAGGATCACGCTGATATTTGAAGGGAAGCGAGTGGGCTTCACAGAGATAGGAGGACCATGCTTTGGTGACAGATCTGCACCGTCACTCTCTTGTTTCTCTGATTCCAGGCTGAGACGACGAAGGAATAAAGAAGGATGGAAGTTCGAGCTTCCGCCTCCCTGATTCTCAGCTATCTGGTGGGCAATCAGAACAGGGGTAGGAATACAGCCTGGAGGGTGGTACGACTGGCTGTCTGTTGGCCCATAACTCCCACTTGGTAGGGGAGGGTTGTACTCTGATGGCAGGCTATCTCGTCTTGGCTTTATCTCAAAGTGGCTGTTGGGAGTTGGCACCATTTGCTGGAAATCTGTGAGAAAGAGGGATGAAGCCGTGAAGTATTCTATTGCACAAGGAAATAATTGCTTTAACGATTTGAGCTAAACAAACTGACTGAAATATACAACACAACGGCTAACTGGACAAATGATACAAAAAAGAAGCCACTTTTTTGCTGTGTTCTACCTGGGTTGGTGGGGTTAAAGATCGGCTCTCTGGTCTGCACCAAGTCTGGTGCTGGGTGGACGAGATCTATAATGTCTTGGTGAGAGGGCACAGTAGCCCTAGCAGGGCTTGAGGTAAGGAGTCCATCCACCTCTTCTCCGGCGACCCGGCTGCTTTCATGGCTCTTTCGGTGTGCAGACCTGGAGTCGTCCTCCTCCAGACTCTCTTCCAATGACTCGATGGTGTCCTCAAAGAACTGGATGCACTCTTGTTCCTCCTGGCTCAGAAACTGCAGACCGTCCTCCTCCTATGAAAGCCATAGGAGAGAAAGAAAGACACTTTAAAGCGATTCAGATTTTGACCTAATAAATTTCTTTACAGATTGTTATAGCAAAGAAACATCTGATGCTAAATCCTATGAGTTTTATCCTCTCTGAATCTCATGTGGAACCGTGTGTGACCGTCATACACCAGTCATGTGTATACAGGGAACACTGACTTTCTTGTTCTTGCATTTAAAACCTCCGGACTTTTTCCCCAGGTCTATATTTAGCTGAAAAGCCCTTCTCTCTGCCCCTCCTTTATGGCCTCTGTTGATCTGAACTTCACTTCTATAGTGACATGAGGTACTTCACACAGTGCTGCTGAGCTGAATGGTACAATAAGATATTCAGAAACAACACACTGGGACTACTGAATGAGCTACTTCTGCAGTCCTGATTAGGATGAAATGTGCCCATTTAATCCCAACCACATGGCTAGGGAATAGGAAGTGGCCGATGACCATGTGTAGCAGACCTACATATGAGCCGGAGTGGAGGGTTTCCACCCAAAGGAATAAAAAAATAAGTCATGTTCAGTTAAGTTGTAGTGACCCTATGGGACTCCTTTCTGTCCAAATTTTCATAGAGACTTTGGCTCTATGGAGTTTTGTCTGGTTCTAACAGAATGCTGTCATTAAGGCAGCCCCAACCCATAAAGTCCACCTTCCTGCGATTAGTCATCTTCTGGAAGCCTGATAAGTTGTCATAGAAAGAGATGTGAAAATGAGATATGCTGTTGCCTTATAGCTATTATGTCCACTCTCAAACGGAACTTTAGCAGTGCTGACTTTATAACATCATAAAGCATTATGAAATGTATGATATTATGTAATATTGTGGAAAATTAGGAGCTTAGAGTCCTGCTTCATTTTCTTACAATTTGAAGATACAAATCAAAGGTTTTGTTGTGAAATTGCATTGAATTGTGAGAACATTTTTGCAAAAATAATATGAACTCGGCGTCTATGGTCTTTTGGTCAGAATTAGAGAGTTGGGTGCCCTAATTTTTGGACTTTGTGATACGTTATGTTTGCCTGCTGTTGAGTAGCATTGATCTTTTGATCTAATGCTATCCAAAAACCTCAGAAAGAGTGCTATCTTGACGGTGGATACTCAACAGTTACGTCATGGCTGAATTAAAGACAAAGCGAATCTAACATTTCAAAGACGACTTGACTTGAGTGATCTGGACATATGGTTTCATTTCAATCTGGGGTCCGAAGCCGCTTCTTTGAGCCATTTCAAGGCAACGACCTTCAGTTTGTTTTCCACGTCTCAAAAAGGAGGGTTTTTTTGCTGACATCACTGCGGCGAGGCTGCTGAGTGTCTAGTTTTGCAAGACACCTGCAGCAACACCCAACTGAGACCCGGCTGAGATAAACACCGCTGGTTTCAGCTGAAATGAACAGGCCCTATTGTAGTAAAGCGGCCCCGGACCTAGAAAACTGCAGCTTAACCGGTTCCACCGCGCTGTGTGTTGACTGAGAACATCCTTCCCAAGTGTCAGCAGGGATTAAGTTGCTCAGCAGGTGGGAATTTTTCACTGTCTGAGATAACTGTTTGCATTGTGTGAACAAAGAACAAAGCCCAAGTCAGGGTGACGTACAGTTTTCTATTATGAATCTGTTATCTGATACACTGAAGGTTGTTTTAAGGTGTTGTTCGTGAGAAAACAAACAGGGTGAACATAAGCCACGTCTCTATATTGTGATAAGATGTCTCCACATGGCATTAAGATATAAACGATGTACAATCCATACTTGGGCATAGCTTCTAAAAACTACACTTGCTCAATTTCCTACCAATAAGGACCGGAAATAACTGAAGTCAGTTTTATATCTGTAAACCAAAGCTCAAACTATCATTGGTCACTAGTTTTCTGATTGCCAAGTGAGGCTAAACAGACAGATTTCAGGCTTTATGGTACATGTTTAAAGTCTGATGAATTCCCGAAGAACAACTATTGTTAAGCCCCTCCACTGTAAATACAACTCTAACCATGACTTTTTTTGTATTAAAAAACTAGTTTTTGTGTGGGGCATTCACGTTGTTGCTACAATTATTTGTGAATCATTCCTAACAGAAAGAGTTTTACCTTCAAAATGATAGGTGCAGGACTAAAATACTCACTCCTGCTCTTGAGTTTTGACTTGCACCTCCGTTCAGCCCGTAGTGGAGCTGAGATCCGCCCTGCACACGGACATTCATAGTGAAGAGAGGTCAGAGGTCAGCCAGCATTTGGAATTTCTAGCAGAGGGTCAGTCCCGTGTGTCTGGGTGATGCTAGGACAAAACCAGAATCATGCCTGGTGTTGGCTGGAAGAATCATCTACTCTTCTTGTCAGTGAGTCTGCAGACACAGAAGAAGCACGAGAGGTCAGACAGGACTGCCTACAGCGGTCAGGAGGGCAAAGGTCAAAGGGCATTACGGTAGTGATGGTACTACTATCGCACAATACAACGATATCAAATGTTGCAGCTCTAATTGTAGTTCTCCAGTAGAAAGATCAACTGAAAGGTTTGCGGCATGAACAAAGGTATGCAAATCATTCTAAAGTCTAAATTTGTGCAACTTTTGAGCTAGAAGCATCCAAAAGTTTATCAAATTTGTGCGATTGATGATTTAGGACCTGCAGAAGTATTTAACTAATGCCAGTAAATTTCTCTTTCAACCAGATAAACCATTGGTCCACCAACAGAAGCTAAAGATTTATGCTAATAAACCAAAATTTGACCACACTTTGAAATGGACAGAAGAAACTATTAAATACTGTATAGCGTAGAAAGTTAGCCAGGATATGGTCAAAGTTATGTTTAAAGAAACGTTTTAGGTTCAACAGCTAAGCTATGAAGCATCGTTTAGATGATTAATTAACACAGTCATTAAATAAAACATTGTGACGTCTTTAGGGGTTAAACAGATTTACTTGGCAGCTCCTGACAACTGTAACTAAAATATTAGAAACCACAGGTTTAATCGTTAACAGTCCGCTCTAGTTTTATAAGCTTATCTCTGCATGTGGAGTCTGTGTCAGATAAATGTACAAAGTACAACGTTTCCATCCCGACAGGTCAACACAGCGGACTGAGAATGTGCTCTCAGGTAGTGCACCCCTCAGCATCAGGGCCTGATGGACCAGTTAACCCAAAACCCGAAGCTGAAAAACAGGCTCCTCTGAGCCGAAACCACCCAGCTCCTCGTCCACATTCCTTTCTAGCTCTGGTTTGAGTCACGAGGCCAAAAGCAAAAGGGAAATGTAAACAACCAAACAGGCGTGCAGTCGCGGACCAGAATGTTGGTCCAAGTTTATTTAACCAAGTAGACCGAGAGACCAGAAGAGCTTTCTGGGCCCGGTTCAGACCCAGAAAAGCTCTGAAGCAATGCTGGGTAAAAGACTGAGATTTAAGGAAAGCAGAGGTCTCGGGGTTGCTTTTACTCTACAGTACTTTTTGTATTCATATCAAATTGTGGTTGTAATACAAAGCTTTTCTTTTACTTTGCAGGTGAAGAAAAAACATAGATTTTTTGCAGTCTTCTAAAAGATCTTAATTGTTTTATGATAAGTGTTTGGCCTGGTGTACTGAAAGGGAGGCAAAAATATCTCTGTGTTAATTAGTCTAAGATAACAGTAATCTACAATATTATGTGTGTCATTACATAAGAGAAGTATTTGTGTAAGATAAAAAGCATCAACGCTTTATTTGACATTGTGAAATGATTGCTTAGTTATGTTGATTCTAAATACTGAATCAAATCTTGTTCACCCTCTAATCAAATCAAAATGAACCAAAAATCCTCATATTACACATTTGAGTTTTTTTTTTTTTTTATCAATTGTAAAATACATCATAATATATATATACATACAGTGGGGGAAATAAGTATTTGACCCCTTGCTGATTTTGCAGGTTTGCCCACTTACAAAGAATGCAACGATCTATAACTTTAATCATATTACATTCTAACAGTGAAAGACAGAATCCCAAATAAAATTCCAGAAAATCACATCATATGAATTTATAAAAATTGATAAACATCTGATGAGGAAAAATAAGCATTCTTTGTAAGTGGGCAAACCTGCAAAATCAGCAAGGGGTCAAATACTTATTTCCCCCCACTGTATGAACAGAATATTTAAGTAGTGTTTTCAAAGGGTCAAAACATTATTTTCAACATTCCACAAGTGGGTCGTAATCACACACAATATCAGAAGTGTCCGGTTATTGGGTCATTTCAAAGGAAACTGAGGAAAAACCCGATGAGGGCAGATTAAAAACTTACCCAGACATCGTACAGAAAATAACACAACTCTTCAGAATCTCTGACTTCTGGGTCCAGTCCTCTCGCTCCTGCTGCGCTCCGGGGAGCTCCGTGTGCGTAAAGACTGCCTCTCCGTGCGTAAAGACTGCCGCTCCGTGCGTAACGCGCGCGTTTAAAGCCCCGGCTGGCTCCGCCCACACCGGGGCTCGCCTCAGACTTCATTCAGAGTACGTTACAAGTGGTGATGACACAGTAGAAAGTAATTCCAACCACGTCCCGGAGAAACTCCGGGACGGGTTCAGAGACAATGGGACATCAGGCCGTTGTTTTGGTTCGTCCAGTTCTGTGAATGAAACCTCAAAAGCTATTTTCTGCTCGGGAGGAAGAAAGAAAGATGACACAGAGGAGGAGGAATCTTTCCTGCCGTTTGACTGAATGTGTCAGAGAGCTGGTACAGTTACCAAAACAAATACGTTTGTGGTAAATAATGAGCAACAAAAATCCATTCCATTCATTTTTCCAAAGATTTCCTTTTAAAAAAAAACAAATTAAACTCAAGCATACACAATGGGGTAAAATTTCTTTATTCAATCTTTATTTTCATTAATTATCTGAGCTGATTTTTATCCCAAAACAAATGTCTTACCCCAACAATCAAATGTGGATGAAGAATGTGTAAATAAGTATAGAGATATATTCAATGATGAATTATTGATTAAGCAATCCTTGTATGTAGGTCAGGGACAAAGATTTGTGGCAATCAAGAAGCTAAATTAGATTTTTACCCTTTACATTTTTTATTAAAACCAATTGATCCTTTTTTTTATTCATCCGGCTCATACTTACAGGGTATTTTTTATCATGTACATATTTATTTGCATTAGGTTCCAGAAAGAACACATATTAGTATTATTACTACTGTATTATCCAGTTATTTGGATTTGTATGTTGTCATTTTTAAGGTATTAAGATAAGAAATATATATATATATATATATATATATATATATATATATATATATATA